CGGCGTCCCGCCGCCGCACGGACACAAGCCGGCATCCTGGGCTCGCGGACAGCTGCAGTCCCCAGGCCGGCCCGGGGCGGCCCTGCCCGAGCGCCGCCTGGGCAGGAAGAGCCGCCGGGAGAGCAGCCAGGGTGCTGCGCCGACTGCTGAGAACAAGCACAGAATAACAGGCCAAGACTGTGGACACGGTTAACTACGTTTAATTCAGTTGTTATATCCTGTTCTACTTCATAAAAATAACAAAATGTTCCTATCAAAATTGCATTGTGATGTGAGGACAGGTTTCTTGTTTTCATACAGCTGTAGAAAAAAGTTGGCACCAAATGCACTTAAAAGAGTTTTAAGGCTTAATACAGACTAGTAATTTCTCAATGCGACAAAGATGGTGAGAACAGTATTCATCCGCACACAGGCATTCCAGAGGTCCCATGCAAATGATAACTGGCTCAGATGATCCTCTGCACTGCTTAGGCCCTAAGCCCAACCCACAGCCTCACAGGAAGACAAGGGAGAGAAAGGGAAAGTAAGGCAGGCACTCTGCTGCCCAGGGAGTCGAGGGTATCTGGGCTGCTGCTGTAGGTTCCCCTTCTCCACCCACAAGTCCCCATCAGTGGACAGAACTGGAGAATTACCTTCCACTGGACCAACTCAGAAATTAACATTGGATTTCTTGGCAATCCAATTCAGAATTCACAAGTCCTCATTAAGAAAACAGTCACAAAATGTTCATTGCTACCATCAATATTTGCTGGTAAGTTAAACAAGTTACTGTGTTTTGGTTTAGAAAGTTAAACATTTATGACATTTCTTTTAAACAGCAAAAAACAACCAAACATACCCTGAATTTGAAATGACATCCTTATAAATGATTTTAACTATAACCCATTTGCAATCTGACCATTTCATGGAATACTTGTTTCTTGGCTCCAGAGTCTGAAGGACAACTGAAGGGGGGTGTGGGGGGGGGGAACTCTTTGGTTGACAAAGCCCAGTGCAGACCTCTCAATAGGTCATGAATAGCAAACAGAGCTCCTGCAGGCACTTATAAAGTTAAGCAAACACGAGTGTGACTGTACAAGCTGTTGCTTTTCTTAAGCTTAATAAAAATGATGACACCTGGCATCTGGTGTGAACTCTGCAGACAGGAGCAACAGCAGCATCCAGAACCTCTCCTGTTAACTGTTATCTACCAGGCGGGAGGGAAGTAGGGAATGGAGGCTGCGGCCCTTCTGGGCTGAGCAGAGGTCTCTACCAGGCAGGAGATGCAACCCAACTTCTGCCAGCACAGTATCTCTCTTGGCAGACTACTTAACATCCTGGCCGAAGGAGCAGCATTTGTGAATGTGTTCCAGAGGCTTTCAAGCTTTCCACAAGGGGCTGGAAAAGCTTTTTCTTCTTTGGTGTGCCTGAGAAAGGGACTCTTCCCCGCCCCCAGATGTTAGGAATTGAGTCTTTAGGCATTTACGAGAAGCTGTTATTTAAAAATAACTTTTCAGGTATTATTAAAAAACCAACCTACAAACCCAAGGTTCTCATGCACATCTTCCCACCAACTACAGGAACAGAACAGAAAGGAAGAAACTGATTAAGCCCAGTACTTGGAAATATCTGAATGTTTTAAGTTCTGCAGAAGCTAGAGGTCTTGTGTAGAAAGATCTGTGGAAGGGGGCCTAGACTTAGGGTTGATGAGACAAACAAAAAGAACAATCTAGAAGCAAACCTGGCATGACAAGGAGCAGAGCCAGCCCCCGAAGATTTGTGAGCCTGGGCCATTGTTTTAGATTCAGGAATGGACAATTCAGAGAATTAGTGTATAAAAATCTTCCACAAAGCAGAAGACTGAGAACCGGTTTCAAGACTGCAGGACAATACACTGGGTGTAGGATGGAAAGGTAATCTTGGGAGGGAAGGCCGTGCTGGCAGTAGACTCCCTACCAGGGAATGTTTAAGGCAGAGACCAGCTTTGTAGTATTTCCATTTACGCTTCACTCCCACATTTCCCCAGGGACAGACAGGTTGTTTGGGTTTCTTTTATCCATTTCTGGATGCCTGACCAGGGAAGACTGCTGATAGCCGGACAGGGAAGGTCCTGCCACGTTTCTTCTCTCGTCTTCGTTTTGCTCCATATAGAACCACCAATGCATGGATAAGTCCCATTTTATACCTAAATGTGTTTCACAGCAGCCTAGAAGGCACAGTCCTCTGGGTGGCTCTTAAGAGGGCAGCAAAGCCACTAAGCAGCCAGCCTCATGTGCAATAACCCTCTCCCATCCACTAGTTTGCATGAAAGGAAACACTAACATTCAATCCCCTATCTCTCAAGTGTCTGGTCTGGCTACAGGCAAAGCAGGCGCTTCTCAGTAGAAAGAGATGCTGGATTTGCCTCCTGGAGGGTTCAGGACCTTGTTGTGGGAGCGAGGCCGGGGCCCCAGCCTGGGCTCATGGCTGTCCACCGCAGCTATGGGCTCAGGTGCCTTTGCATGGTCTCCTCGGGAGTTCCCCTTCTCACCAGGCTCTTCTCGGGGCACGGTATGGGTTGCAGCTGTGAGACAAAGCCCGTACAATGTCTATTAGTGGTAGCCATTGTAAGGAAACGCCCACATCATCTCTGCCCTCAATGGCAGCTCCTGGGGGTGGGGCACTCCCACCCTCCTCCCCAAAAGGGGCCTCCAAGGAGCCAGGGGGCGCCATTCTCCACTTTGCTCATGAGAACTTGGCCCTGTCAGCTCTACTGGCAATAAATCTTTTCCTCTACATGACTTCTGTCTGTGAGGTCTTTTAGGTTACTTTCTGCTTGGGCTGCGTTTGCCTTTCAGTCACTATTTTGTCAGGCAAGCTGCACTAAGGTCAGCCTCATAACAGTTCATCAAGCCTTCACATAGTGCTGGGAGAGAAAGTAAGCCAAGCATGCATTCTCTCCTGCACCAAGAGAACTCAGCTTGATTAGCAGATGCAGCTCTGGAAATGTGGCAAAGTTAAGGATGACTAAACACTCCTTTCATGTTTCCCTCTATGTCCCCGCCCTGCCCCCAGCACACACAGGTACTGGTGTGTGAACTCAGAACCTCGTGGTCACTTGTCTTCTTAGCTGTTGTGCTACTACTTGAGCACACTCCAAGCTTGGTGGCTGGCTGGTTACTTTTGGAGGTGGATACTTGTAACGTTCTTGCCCTGGCTGGCTTTGACCCTCAATCCTCAGATCTCAGGCTCCTGAGTAGTAGGATTACAGGCGTGAGCCACTGGCGCATGGCTGACTTGATGAGGCAAAGAAAATACAAACATTTGTCCAGAAATAACCACTGTGTCCCTGGCCTTCCTCAACAACGCACACACTGTGACTGCTGGAAGGTACAGAGGGACATGCCCTTCCGTGCTGCCAGGCACACCACCAACGCTCTGCTCCCAAGGTGACGCCACACAGGACAAAGGCAGGGATCAAGCTCACCTGTAAGATCAGATTTTGTGGCTTCTCCTTCACACAGGAAAACATGGTCCTGCAACCAGACAGACCACCAGGTCAGTACTCATTCTAGTGGACAATGAAGACCAGGACATGAACAATCTGTTTAACTTAAAGCAAACTTTTTTTTTTTTTCTTCTGTTGGTCATCGGGCTTGAACTCTGGGCCTGGGCTCTTTCCCTGAGCTCTTCAGCCCAAGGATAGTGTTTTACTGCTTGAGCCACAGCGCCACTTCTGGTTTTCTGGCAGGTTCATTGGAGATAAGAGTCTCATGGACATTACTGCCCAGGCTGGCTTTGAACCACAATCTTCAAATCTCAGCCTCCAGAGTAGCTAGGATTACAGGCACCCAGCTAAAGCAAACATTTTTATTAGCAAAAATTAGTTTATACGAGGGGTATTCCACTGTGATATTTCCATATAGCCTAACAATATCTCTCTACCGATCTCTTATCTCCCTCCCCCTCCTGCCTTTTAAACTAATCTTAATAGGTTTCACGGTTCCATTTTCACATATACATAAAGTACTCACTTATTTTACTCATTTACCCTTCCCCCCCCCCCAGCTACATTTAAAACATGATTTTATCATTGATGATTTAATCATAAGCAGTAGAGGGCTGGGCTAGCCAAGAGCGTCTGGGTTCTGTGCTACCAAAACAAAGCAGATGGAGTCACACAGTAAGTCCCACGTATCCTGCTAACGGCTTCAATGGCCCTATCGCCTAGCCTTAGACCCCACCAATTCTGAAGATATTTAGCTATTTCATTTATCCAGAAATGGTTGAGAATTTTCTTTTAGCTGTGTGTGGTGATTCATGCCTATAACTAAACTACTTGGGAGGCTGAGGTAGGAAGAGCTGTGATTCACGGCCAGACTGGACAAAAAGCTCCATCTCAGCCATTCCGAGCTGAGTGACTCTGTATGCCACCTTTACCATAACAGCAACAGCCCTGAGTGTACCGTGTGTCTATCACGCCAGCTATGCAGTAGGCATACATCAAAGAATGAGAGTCCAGGCTGGCCCACGCTAAAAATGGAGACTTTATCCTATTCATTCAGGAGGGTGACAGCCAAGGTTAAAAAGTCTGTGAGAAGCCGGGCGCCAGTGGCTCACGCCTGTAATCCTAGCTACTCAGGAGGCTGAGATCTGAGGATCCCATGAGACTCCTATCTCCAATAAACCAGAAGTGGCGCTGTAGCTCAGGTGGTAGAGTGCTCGCCTTGAGCTGAAGAACTGAGGGACAGCGCCCAGGCCCAGAGGTCAAGACCTATGACCGACAAAAAAAAAAAAAAAAAAGTCTGTGAGACTCTTATTTCTAATTAGCTAGCAAAAAGTTGGCATTGGATAGTGACTGATGCTCAGGTGCCATTCTTGAGCGGGAAAGCCAAGTTTAAGCCCCTGTACTCGCGCGGGTGCACGCACACACACACACGCACACACACACACGGAAAATCTTTTCAGTTTGAGGGAACTATACGTGTGTGTGTGTCTCTCTCTCTCATGGGGCACACACACACACATGGAAAAGCTTTTCAGTTTGAGGGAACTATGTGTGTGTGTGTCTGTCTGTCTGTCTCTCTCTCATGGGGCACTGTCCCTGAGCTTTTTGCTCAAGGCTAATGTTCTACCACTTAAGTCACAGCTCTACTTCCAGCCTTTTGATAGTTACTTGGAGACTTTCCCCCTGGGCTGGCTTTCAACTGTGATCTTCAAGTCCCAGCCTCCTAAAGTAGCTAGGATTATAGGGATTATATAGGATTATAGTGGGCTACCTAGCTATTTTTTTTTTTTGTGTCAGTTTTAGGGCCTGACCTCTAGGCCTGGGCACTGTTCCTCAGCTCTTCAGTTTAAGGCTAGTGCTCTACCACTAGAGCCACAGCACCACTTCTGGCCTTTTCTGCTTATGTGGTGCTGAGGAATCGAATCCAGGGCCTCATGCATGATGCATGCAAGGCAAGCACTCTACCACCGAGCCACCTTCCCAGCCCGACTAAGCTATTTCTGACTCACCTTTACGCCAAAGGTGTAGCGCCTTAAGGCACTAGATTATGGGAGCAGTCTTGCAAATCAGGCTCTCCATTTTGGTAGAGCTGAGTTTTGGGCTTTGTTCCTATATCTGGGGAAATCATATACATACTACAGGAAACTGATTTACAAATTCCTTAGGGACAAAGTAGCTTCAGCAAAGAAAAAAATCTCTGAAGAACTCGGGAAGGTCCTATCTAAACCTCAATATACTCCTCTGTTAAAGTACTCTTGATGGGCTGGGAAGGTGGCTCAGTGGTAGAGCGCTTGCCTTGCATGCATGCCTGAGGCCCTGGGTTCGATTCCTCAGCACCACATAAGCAAAAAGAAAAAACCGGAAGTGGCGCTGTGGCTCAAGTGGTAGAGCACTAGCCTTGAGCTGAAGAGCTGAGGATCAGCGCCCAGGCCCAGAGTTCAGGCCCCATGACCGGAGCCAAAAAAAAAAAAAAAAAAGTACTCTTGATGTGGGATTCTAAATCTGAAGGACCAGCATGAATGGTAGGGTACTCAATGAGTGGGTGATTCCTCCTCTTCATGCTCTGAGATACATGCTCTACTGAGACAACTAGCAAACCCAGGTCCTCACCTTCATGGACTGCACATTCTAGGGACTCTGTGGGATATTGGGATGAGTAATGCTACAGTACTTGGTACTTGGTAAACCAAAGTGCTTTACACAGATTAAATCATTTTTAAATTTTAATGTCCTCTCAAAAAATATAATTTTCACTGGGCACTGGTGGGTTCATGCTGTTTTGCTTCTGGTTCTTTGATCACAAAAATAAGTGGAAAAGCATAGTTTAAAAGTATTTCTAGGGAGCTGGAAATGAGACAGTGTTAGAGTGCTTGCCTACCATGAATGAAACACTGGGTTCTTCAGTACTTCATAAACAGAAAAAGCTGGAAGTGCCACTGTGGCTCAAGTGGCAGTATGCTATCCTTAAGCAAATGAAGCTTGGGAACAGTGCCAAGACCCTGAGTTCAAGCCCCAGGACTGGCAAAAAAAAAAAAAAAAGAAAAGAAAAAAATTCTCGTAACTGGCAGTAAAGTTTAATACAGATAAGCTCTAGCCAAAGTATAGCACAGAAAAGTCTACCACCACTCGGCCTACCACAAATACCAAGGTAGGCTGTGCTGGCCCTGGTACACAGGGAAGTTAGGATGCACCCCGTCACTGGACCTGGAGCCCAGGGGCTCACAGATATCTAATCGGTATTTGCTCCATCTTTCTACTGTTCAGGAGACTGTGCTCATCTTGCATCAAAGGTGTGTAGAATGCTGTAGCTATGCACACTGGTATCAAGTACAAGGACTTTGTCATCCTATGGTGAATAACCCATCATCAGCCATCATCTTTCTTTCCAAAATGAACAGCGTACAGCCACATTTGTGCCAGGTGCTCTCCTCCTCTCTCCGGCACAGTGAGGAGCACAGGAAGAGCAGCGCACTGCTGACCGCTCACAAGTCCCATCGGGCCTCATGTTCCCAGTTCCCTGGGTGACTCAGGGGATCTCCCAACCCAACAGCAAATGACAACACCAGGAAATTCGGCGTCATCCACCTTGCCTTTTCTTAAGTCATGTCACACCTGCCTTGGAGCCTTTTCTAAGAATTTGGCTCCACTCTGTTTTCTTTCACGTCTGCTATCTGAATGTCGTCCATACCTTGGGTTTGTTTGGGTGTGCCAAGGGTGAAGTGGCAGTGACTGGGGACCCGAAAATGTCACTGGTCTTCCCACCAGGTGGGTTCAGACGTTGCCGGGTCTGCACAGGAGTTGATTCGTCAAAGATACCACTTCCTTTCCCCCCTGCAGAAACAACCAGAGGACACTGAGCACTGCGGCAGCCATCTGCTGCTTCCTCACATTTGTCACTACGTTTGTTACCTCACGACAGTGACAGTGCAGGTACCGAGCTTGCTGCCAGCCAACTCCTTCACTGGGGCCAGCTAGGCCTTCATGTCTTCTAGATCAGCACCCCCCCACCCACCCCCCCACCGCATCCAGGCAGGCCTCTAGAAGGAACCACACAGCACATTGCCCCTCTTGAGTTTCCTGAACACTTAACTATTCAAAACAACAAACATGTTGAGTTCATGTAGAGTTCTTTAGTTATTAACATGCCCTACTGGAGACAAACTTGTAATCTGGAAAATAACATTTACTAGTCATTCTGATCTCATTCTGGCTGGACCTTCCAGTGATGACTAGGTATTTCTGATGAAAGAAATGTAACATTTTTGATAAAAATATGCATCTTAGATGGAAATTCTTGTGGGCCTGCTGGACTTGACACAAGAAAGCCTAGACATCTATGGTAGGCAGAGAGACGCCTACTATATGATACCAACTGATAACTGTCTTTACTCTGCAGACAGCAACGACCAACCTTCCACAAAGCACTATGCTAAATGGAGGCAGATTATCAAACTCAAAGCATTGGCACCTCACAAACCAACAGAGGGAAAGAAAAGACACCCACTCACTACCTGTGTGGCTATAAAAAAGACACTTGGCCTTTTTCTATCTCTAATTCCTCATCTGTAGAGTAGGGAAAATAAAGTTTTTTCTCTCAGGGCTGTATGAAAACTCATTGAGATACTGTAGCATGGAACAATGCCTAGGATATAAACATTCAATAAGTATCAGCTAATACATGTTCTATGAACAATCTGTATAGCACTATAACATTTTAATATAAAAAGAGGGATCTCATTGGCTTGGATTTGAGTAAAGAAAAATGTGATTTCCTGAAATCTGAAATCCCAACCTCTTGGGAAACAGAGATTAGGAGGGTCAAGGTTCAGCCCAGCAGGAAAATAGCAAGATAACAAGATAATAGCTGGTTTGACAACTAGACCAGGTGTGGCGGTGAGCCTGTGATCCCTACTCAGGAGACACACCTGACCGAGACCCTGCCTGAAAAATAAGAAAGAGAAAAAGGGGGTTGAGAATGTGGCAAAGTGCCTTGCTTATAAATTGTGAGGCCCTGAGTACAAATCTCAATACCACAAAAACAAAGAAAAGTAATCGGGAGCCCAGCCCAGGTGGCTCATACCGGTCACCCTAGCTACTCAGGAGGCTGGGATATGAGGACTGCAGTTTGAAGCCAGCCACAGCAGAAAACCAGAAGTGGCACTATGGCTTAAAGTGGTAGAGCACTAGCCTTGAGTGGGGGAAAAAAAGCTCAGGGACAACACCCAGACTCTGAGTTCAAACCCCATGACTGGCCAAAAAAGAAAAGGAAAAAAAGGAAAAAGAAAAAAAAAGAAAGATGGGGGGGGGGAAGAGTACTCAGGAAAGTAGGAAAGACAGGTGTGTAGTATTAGAAAGTATAAGAAATATAAGGACCAAGGGTGTGTAAGAAAGTGTAAGGAATCTAAGAAGCTCTTTGTAAAGAGTTGTCTTTTGTGTTTTCTACTTTCAAATAATTACATTTTAAAGTTATTTACTGGCTATGACGATCATATGGCTACCACAGGGCTGATAAGCATCACCGCAGGAGGAACGGGAGCAGGAGCAATCCACACAGCCCTCAGTGGGGTGGGGCCCAAGCAGAACAGGGAGTGTCAACTTCTAGAGGCCTAAACTAATGCTGTCAGGAAGTCTTTACCTGTGCATGGAAAGTGGGGCTGGTGCAGTGCATTTGCCTTTGTGGGGGGCGGAGACAAGAACTTTCAGGGAACAACTTCAGGGTTATCATAAAACATTCCCAAACCCCAGCTGTGGACCTCCCAGAGATCCAATCTGGAAACTGGACACCGGTGGTTTGTAAAGCCAGTATGGAGTGGGACCGGACTGGGCCTCTGGGGCAAGGCTGCTGCTAGGGGCAGAGTCCCTGCTGTCACCCACTCACTGTGTGACCTTAGGCAAGTGACCTACCTTCTCAACTAATAGATAAGACTCCTACCCAGGTGAGTACTGAATTGAAACAGTTGATGCAGGTGTCCTGCAGGCACCCCTTGGTGAGGTTGCTGGCCTTGCTAGCAAAGGTGTCTGGCTCACCAGGCAGAGAGGGGGCCCTCCCATCATGTCATTCCTGGTCATCCCCGAAGGCTTACATCCAAATCGCTCATTCGTTACCCTTTCAATATAGTTTAATCACATACTTATTATTACTCAACATCTTTCTTGAAAGAAGAGTTGAGCTTTGAAGCAAGAAAAGCTGGCTAGGGCCAGGAAGGTGGCTCAGTGATAGAGTGCTTGCCTAGCATGCATGAAGCCCTGGGTTCAAGTCCTCAGCACCACATACACAGAAAAAACCGGAAGTGGCGCTGTGGCTCAAGTGGTAGAGTGCTAACTTCTCATTGTTCTCAGGAACAGTGCCCAGGCCCTGAGTTCAAGCCCCAGACTAGAAAAAAAAAAACAAAAAGAAAAAGCCTACATTCACTCACAATTGAAGGAAAATAAATGCAAGGTAACCACTATATTGGTACATACAAGCACATATATACATTAGGGATAAACCACAGGACTGTTTGCAAGTTGTTGACCCAGGACTCTATATTTCAAGAGATTTATCCAGATGGTGCATTCAGGAGGTAAGGTTAGCACACAGGCACGAGGCAGGAAAACTCAGATCCAAAAGCTACTCCTGCCACTAAGTAGGTGAAGGACTCCGGCATGCCAGTGTTTTCCTATTGCAGAAGCTTCTTACAGAGGAAAGTTTTATCGTCAAAGGACCACACTACTGCCTACCTCCTATAATTGTGGTAAAAAACCACATGCTAAACACTTAGCATCATCACACTCAGGTAAACACAGAAACCATCAGTAAAGACCTAGACAAGCCAGTAGTGAGGAAGAAAGATGAACGAAAGGGGGAGAGATAGCACACGCTGCCTTTGTTTGTACCTTTGGGGCTTCACAGAGTATTTTCAAAGAGACTCTGGTTGATGGAAAGAAACTCCAGAGCCACAAGATGCAGAAACTTGGTCAGGCAGCGAGCGGCAGGTGCAGCTCCTCAAACACGCTGCTGAGCCCCTGGTCAAGGGGTCCGGGCTCCCCACCAGGCGTTCGAGTGTTCCAGTGCCCATGGACATGAGGTTCAAGGGCCAGACACGGGATTCTAAGCTCTCCAGGAAGCCCAACAGACAATATAAACCACCGCACAGGCCCTCCGCTGAGGAAGGGCCACACAGGCAGCTCTCACTCACCTAGCTACCCTGGGCTTGAGATGACCTTGCATACCACAAGCTGCTCTGCCGTCCTGGTGTGGTGGTCCGAGGGGCTGACCATTCCTGGCCCTAACCTGAGCTGGACACCATGAGAACATCAGTCACTCTAGAAGCTGCAGGCGTTTCTGCTGACCATATCCACCAACTCCAACAGCCACCAACCAATAAGCAAAACAATTATTTACATTTGGTCAAAAGGAATTGTACCCAGAACCGGAAGGAGGTAGGGAGCAATTCCTGCTCTCGTTGTAACATTTTGATCAAATCTCAGATCTTTTAAGGATGAAACAAACCCTGCTATCATGGAGACATCTTCTCCTTTTCTCTCTCCTACCACACTTTCTTTTGGAAACAGGGTCTGGCTATTTAATCCGGGCTGGTCTTAAAATCACTATCTTTTCTGTCTCAACCTCCAGAGAATAGGGATTACAGACACTAAACTAAGTCTTTTGAACTCATGACCTCATACTTGCTCAGCTGATTTGCTAGCCTGGCTAGGGCTCTAACACTTAAACCACAACTTTAGCCAGCTTATTTTGTTGGCAATTATGTGTGTGTGTATGTATGCCCATGCACAGAACGTGTAGATCCTAGGGCCTGAACTTGGGGTTTGGGCACTATCCCTGAGCTTTTTTGCTCAAGGCTAGCACTCTACCACTTGAGCCACTTAATTAAGCTCCACTTCTGTTTTTTGGTAGTTAAAGGAGATAAGAGTCTCAAACTTTCCTGCCTGGGTTGGCAGGAAAGCATGTTCCTCAGATTTCAGCCTCTTGAGTAACTAAGGTTATATACATGAGCCATAGGGACCTGTGTTTGTTGTCTTAAATTTGGCTTTGAAGTCTTAAGAGTTTGCCCCGACTGACTGGCTTCAAACTCAAGATCTTTCCTGTCCTGATCTCAGCCTCCTCATTAGGTCGGCATGAGCCAACTTAAAACTTTCTTACAAAAATAAAAATTATTTTCTTCTCTAACCATTAGTGCAGGCAAGTAATGAAGAACTGTCTAGATGTCTACACAGTTTTAATCCCACTGAAAGTCAATAACACCATAAAAATGATTGGCTGAGACCTGAGGATCATGATTCAAAGCCAGCCCAGGCAAAGAAGTCCATGAGACTCTTATATCTCCTATTAACCAGCAAAAAGCCAGTACACTGACTGCCTTGAACAAAAAATGCCAGTGAGTGTGTTAATTCCTTGAGTTCAAGCCCCAGTACTGACTCTCTCTGTCACACACACAGAAAGAAAAATGCTTGAATGCATAAATATTTGCATGGAACTTAAGAATTTCCAAGAGTCCAAGAACCAAACTCTTACTGTTCAGTTCAATATCCTCACTCAATCAGTGTCTGATGAGTAGATGGGATTTGTGTGCTCAAGCCATTTTCACAAGGGAGAAAGTGACAGTACAGTCTTTCACTTTAGAAAAACTTTGATGCCAAAGGATAACATATACCAGAAAATATCTGAGAGGATAGAAAGAAATAGAAGCCTGGCACAGTAAGCTAACCCTTTAGGGAAAATGAGACAGGAAGATTGCTGTTTGTTTTTTTTTTTTTTTGGGGGGGGGCGGTTTCCATGGGGCTTGAACTCTGGGCTGAGTACTATCCCCGAGCTCTTAAGCTTAGGGTAAAACCACAGCGCTACTTCTGGTTTTCTGGTGGTTAATTGGTTAAGGGTCTCATGGACTTTCCTGCCTAGGATGGCTTTGAACCAGGACCCTCAGATCTCAGCCTCCTGAGTAGATAGGATTATAGGTGTGAGCCACCAACTCTGTAAGTTTTTGTAATCTGGGATACACAGCAAGACTCTGACTCTAAACAAACAAAAGAAATAGCAGTTATTTTCAAATGAACAGCAGAAAAGAATAGAGGCAAATAAACCCCACAAAACCCACAACTAAAAATTACAAAGGTCTATACCAGGGGGGTTTGTTCTCTTTGGTATGTTCTGAGGCCCTTCGGTTGGTCCAAAAATATTAGATGCCATCCTATTAGGCCTGCATGAAGGAACCGCTTCTTCTGGACTTCCAAAAATATTGCTTGCTTCTCCTCCTGGGGGCTTCATGGACCTGTAAACACAGGTAAGCACACGTCACTGGTGGCTGCCCTAGACTCTCAGGAATCAACAGATTGGTGGTGGTGATTTTTCCCACCAGGCTATAACAGTAGGCAGCAGAAATGAGAGCCACTCTGGGTACGATAGTGTATGCTTGTGATAACAGTATTTGGGAGGACCAGAGTTGGAGGACAAACTGTGCTACACAGTGAGACCATGTTTCAAACACATATACACAAAAACCATGAGGAGTTTCACATTTCTAGGAGCCACATTATAAAAAGAACCAATCAGAAATTCATTCTAATAGATTTAAATTAAGCTACTTTATAAGAAATGAGTGTGAATGGAATAAAAGACATTGTTGTTGTTGTTTTTTGGCCAGTCCCGGGGCTTGAATTCAGGGCCTGGGCACTGTCCCTAAGCTTCTTTTTGCTCAAGGCTAGCACTCTACCACTTGAGTTACAGCACCACTTTTGGCTTTTTCCTGTTTATATGGTACTGAGGAATCGAACCCAGGGCTTCATGCATGCTAGGCAAGCACGCTACTGTTAAGCCACATCCCCAGCCCTAAAAGGCATGATTAAAGAGATATTTTGTTCTTTCCGTGCCCCAACCCCAGTGAGTAGCTGACACTTGGTAGACATCCCATACCCAAGTGCCGGGAGACACAGTGGCCCTGGTAGAGCTCAGCTCCTGCAGTGGGGGTTAGGTTTGACCTGTGTTAAGCATGTCCCATCTTCTAGAGGCCCTCAGAAAGGTACAAGAGGCCCTGGGTTCGATTCCTCAGCACCACATAAGCAAAAAGAAAAAAGCCGGAAGTGGTGCTGTGGCTCCAGTGGTAGAGCGCTAGCCTTGAGCTGAAGAGCTGAGGGACAGCGCCCAGGCCCAGAGATCAGGCCCCACCCCCAAAAAAAAGAAAGGTACAAGAGTGTCCAGTCCATGCATGAGCCGCAGCCCACCTGACTTATGATTCTACTGCTTCTTGTGTGACTTACAGGGTTTGTAGTCTGTGGCCCAAGTCTGGTGTCACAGTGAAATGCCCAGTACTAGTATGGAAGCACCTAACAGGACCACTGTGTATTTTCGACCATGGCATCTGGGGCGAGTGTCTTCTCTAGACATTCAGTTAGATTTAAAATTCATTCCAGAGAAGAAATCTCCAGAAACTGAATCTTAAACCAGTGTGTGGCCCCCTAAGGCCTCGGAAATGGGAGTGACTCAGACACTTACAACTACTTGAAACTATGTGTGTGAAAGCTAAGAGGAGGTTAGGCCTCACTGGAAATCCACAGGGACATGGGTTGCTCATGGTGGAGCTAAAAGGAATAGGATAATGAAAATGCTCTTGTTCCCTCCAAAGTACAAGGAGCAGCTGACAAATGGAGCATTCAGTCTGCCACAAGGGAGGACAGCAGAAAGCGAGGAAGTCATATGCTCTTCGGAGTGCAGACAATGCGCCACCCATGCCCCAACAGAGACCTCCGCTGGCCACTCCAGGCACAAACTGGCAGGCCTTTGAGCTGGGACTACGTCCCTATCTTCTTGCAAAAAGGGGAAAGCAGATGTGTCAAAAAAACTGCCTTGTTCAGCAGTTAATGATTCCTTGAAAAATTTATGACAACACTTGTTTTAATCACCAATAATCAGGCTTAGAAAGGAACTTAACAAGACCATAGGTGTATTGCTGGAGGACAAAGCCACTTATAAATCACACAGCTCTGGTTATTTGTCCTATTTCCCTTACCTAGTTGCAAGTCTAACATGCTTGGGTTTAGTCTCTTTTTCCTCTGCCTCTAACACAACTCCAGATAATGTAACACTGCAACTCTGCACGAAACCTTCTAGACTTGAAGATGAGTGTCAGCAAATCCTTTGACCAGAACCTCAGATTTAAGGGGAAAACCAGCTGTGTCTGAGGTTTGTGGTGCATGCAAGTGTAAGAGCAAAGCACAAGAAGGTTGGCAACTTCCAAGCTGTCTCTGGAGAGACCTAAGAGGCAAGTGGCAGTTTATTTCAAATGAACCGTTTCTGGGGTGGTGAAATACAAGATGTTACATTCTGATTTTTCTTTCAATGGAAAACAAGCATAGAAAAGGAAAGTATAGTGCTGTAGCATGTTCTGGCCTGGGAACCTGGTCTGAGGCTATCTCCATCACAAAGGCAGTGAGTGGGGCCCAGTACAACGGGTTTCACAGCCTTCAGCAGCTATGCCAGTGCAAGCAGGGTCTGAGTTCAACAGGCCTTTCAATAAAAATAGGACCTACAACAATGACCCAGTGTGGCCTCATGGGAACTTCAAGCAGAAGTTACCACAATGAGACTGGGGGAGGGGAGTGCTAGCCAGCTCAGATAATTTAGGACAAATTTTCAATATGGTGTGCACCAATTACGTTTTCCTCTTGTGATACCCCTTTCATTATGTTTTAGTAAAGATATTCCATATAGGAAATAAGAGACATACGTCTGGAAGAATGCTCAGGTGGACTGTGGGACTGGAGAGGCAGAAAAGTGTTCACGTTTGACCAGTTCAAAATTTGCTCAACCGCTTGTTTTGGAAAAGCTTTTGGGGCCGGGTGAGGAGGCTTGGAGAGAAGATGTGAAAACCGAATTTGTCCAATCCTGTACAAATATCAAAGCTGGGCACCTGTTGGCTCACACCCGTAAACATTAGCTACTCAGGCGGCTGAGATCTGGAGATAGTGGTTTGAGGCCAGCCCAGGCAGGAAAGTCCATAAGACTCCAATGTCCAATTAAGCACTAAAAAACCGGAAGTGGAGTTGTGGCTCAAGTGGTAGAGCACCAGCCTTGTGTGAAAATGCTCAAGGACAATGCCCAGGACCAGCACCCATCAATAAATAATAAATTACAGTGTAAATGACTTTGGATTCATGGTAAAGCCTGCTTTAAAGGTAGAAAAGTCTTACCACGAGATCACCGTCACCAAGAAATGAATGAGCGAATGAAAACAGAAAGTGGAGGGTCTGAAGAAAAACCCTGGAAGGGTAACTACGGCCGCAGGTGCGCCAGAGACGCGGCTCCCGGCGAACCCGGCAGAGCCGTGCACTGAAGCGGGCGGCTCCCGCCTGCCCTCCGGCTGCTCGAGGCTGAGATCCGGGGATCGCGGTTCGAAGCCAGCCCGGGCAGCAAAGTCCGCGAGACTCTTATCTCCAATAAACCAGAAAAAAGCCGGAAGTGGTGCTGTGGCTC